GATGGATGGATGGATGGATGGATGGATGGATGGATGGATGGATGGATGGATGGATGGATGGATGGATGGATGGATGGATGGATGGATGGATGTGAATGAAATTTTGTAACTGACTGGCTAAATGTTAGATCTAGTATTGTGATTTTACAAACAGATAATGAGAATTGGTGTGCCTAATAGATGTGTTCTCTCAGTCTGCATAAACAAAAGCTGGTTACGTTCTACATCTGACATAAAAGGTTTCACCTTCTGGGGTGTAAACAAGAAGAGACATGTTAAAAGGTTGAATCATCATTGTTATTGTGGCAGAGGTTTTATTTGTTAGTCCTTATGTGCAGTCTCTGTCTTAGAGCAGCCTGGGACAGTCTGGGCTCTGTTTTCGTATTCAGATAAGACAAAGGTGATTTTACTCTGAATCCTGCTGAGTGCTGTGCTGGATCTGATAGGAGTGAGAGATGAGAATAAAGTTTATTTTAGAAGAGATTCAACTGGTTTTCTGCTATACAGTATTATTCAGACTTCCATTCATTGATCACAAATTCCCTTGATTTGAAATTGGTTTCAATTTGAAATTGATTTTAGATACACAATTCTCTCACTAATAAGAAGCCGGTTATTATTTATAATCCATTTTTTAGTGGCAACACAGTGATGGAGCACAAATGTGCAAATGAGATTACTCATGTGTATTGTGTTCAACCTTTGATTTTACCTTTACGCTATGATGACAGAGGCTCATAGAATTTTTCTTAATGTTCATGTCTGTTTTTTGTGTACTTATTTTGATGTCCTGATGCATCTCAGTAATCCAGGTAAAAAATCAAAAAGAAAAAAATTGTGTGGGTCTTCTGGATGGCTTCTTCTCTAATGAAACGTTTCGTCTCTCCTCCAAGAGACTTCTTCAGTCTGAGAGTTTCAGGCAAAATTCAGGCTTTTAAACCCAGCCTCCGTGTGACTGATACTCACATCACACGGCTATCGTTGACACCTAATTAACACTTATTGTTAACAGGGGGTGGAGTGATACTGGCAATGGCCGCGCTGTAGGAGGGGGACAGCTGAAACACATTACGGCAAAGGCTGGTTC